ACATGGGAGGTGCTCCAGTCCCCTGATCATCCTCGTGGCCCTCCTCTGGACTTGTTCCAACAGTTCCATGTCCTTTTTATGTTGAGGACACCAGAACTGCACACAATACTCCAAGTGAGGTCTCACGAGAGCAGAGTAGAGGGGCAGGATCACCTCCTTCGACCTGCTGGTCACGCTCCCTTTGATGTAGCCCAGGATACGGTTGGCTTTCTGGGCTGCAAGTGCACACTGAAGCCGGCTCATGTTCAGTTTCTCATTGACCAACACCCCCAAGTCCTTCTCTGCAGGGCTGCTCTGAATCTCTTCTCTGCCCAACCTGTAGCTGTGCCTGGGATTGCTCCGACCCAGGTGTAGGACCTTGCACTTGTCATGGTTAAACTTCATAAGGTTGACATCAGCCCACCTCACAAGCGTGTCAAGGTCCCTCTGGATGGCATTCCTTCCCTCCAGCATATCATCCAAACCACACAGCTTGGTGTCATCGGCAAACTTGCTGAGGGCGCACTCAATCCCAGTGTCCATGTCAGTGACAAAGACGTTGAACAAGACTGGTCCCAACACCGATACCTGAGGGACACCACTCATTACTGGTCTCCATCTGGACATTGAGCCATTGACCACAACTCTTTGCGTGTGACCATCCAGCCAGTTCTTTATCCACTGGGTGGTCCACCTATCAAATTGATGTCTCTCCAATTCAGAGACAAGGCTGTTGTGTGGGACAGTTTCGAACACTTTGCACAAGTCCAGGTACATGACATCAGCTGCTCTACCCCTGTCCATCAGTTCCATAGCCCCATCATAGAAGGCCACCAAATTGGTCAGGCAGAATTTGCCCTTAGTGCAGTGTCACCAAGCACCTTGTTGTTTTCCATGTGCATTAGCATGCCTTCCAGGAGAATTTGCTCCAAGATTTTGCCAGGCACGGAGGTGAGACTGACTGGTCTGTAATTCCCTGGGTCATCCATTTTCCCCTTCTTGAAAATGGGGGTTATATTTCCCTTTTTCCAGTCATCAGAAACTTCACCTGACTGCCATGATTTTTCAAATACAATGGACAGTGGCTTAGCAACTTCATTTGCCAGCTCCTTCAGGACCTGCGGATGGATTTCATCAGGTCCCATGGACTTCCATACATTCAAGTTCTTAAGATGGCCTCGAATCAGATCTTCTCCTAGTGTGGGCCCAAGGTCTTCATTCTCACAATCCCTGCATCCTCATTCCAAGACTTGGGTGGTGTAGTCAGAGCATTTGTCAGTGAAGACTGAGGTAAAAAGTCATTAAGAACCTCATCCTTCTCCAAATCCAGGGTAGCCAGTTCTGACAGCTTCTGGAGAAGGCCCACGTTGTCCCTAGACTGTCTTTTATTTGTAATGTACCTACAGAATCCCTTCCTGTTATCCTTAACATCCCGAGCCAAGTTTAATTCTAACTGGGCCTTAGCTTTCCTAACCTGGTCCCGAGCTTCCTGGACAACATCCCTGTATTCTTCCCAGGCTGTCTGTCCTTGCTTCCACCTTTTATAAGCCTCTTTCTCCCTTCTAACTTTCCTCAGCAGCTCCTTATCCATCCAAGGAGGTCTCCTGGCCCTCCTGCTGCACTTCCTTCTAGTTGGGATGCAACACTCCTGAACCTGTAGAAAGTGATCCTTGAACATCAACCAAGAGTCTTGAGCCCCCCTGCCGTCTAGGGCTATATCCCATGGAACCTTACTAAGCAGGTTCCTGAAGAGGCCAAAGTCTGCTCTCTTCTGCTCTCTTGAAGTCCGGGGCGGTGAGCTTGCTGCATGCTCTTCTCACTGTCCTGAGGATCTCAAATTCGACCATCTCATGATCGCTGCATCCAAGGCTGCCCTGGAGCATCACATTTCCAACCAGCCCTTCCCTGTTGGTGGGCACAAAGTCAAGCATAGCACCTCTCCTTGTCGGCTCCTCCATTACTTGCAGAAGGAAGTTGTCTTCCATACAACCGAGGAACCTCCTGGATTGCTTGTGCCAGGCCATACCATCACTCCACCAGATGTCAGGGTGGTTGAAGTCCCCCATGAGAACAAGGGCCTGTGAGTGTGAGGCTTTTCCTATCTGTCTATAGAGCGCTTCATCCAGAGTCCTCTTGATCAGGCGGTCTGTAACAGATTCCCCACAGTAATGTCTCTCATAACTGTTTTCCCTTTAACCCTGACCCACAAACTCTCTGTTAACTGATCACCTGTCCCCAGACAGAGTTCCATACTCTCCAGACTATCCTTAACATAAATAGCAACTCACCCTCCCCCTCTGCCAGGCCTCTCTAAAGAGCCTGTACCCTTCCATTCCAACACTCAAGCAAACAAACAAGCAAACAGGCATATACTCTTGAAAGTGAAGAGTCCCATTCTACACACACAGATGAATGCTAATATTACAGAGTCACAACAGGCATATTTTTATTAAACAAATAAAAACCTCCCAAACTTAGCTTAAACAAGCCTAACTGTGGCTGGACCTTTTCCTGGTGCCCTCCACCACTTCCCTGGGACAGTTATTATGAATCTTCATGCTCTTGAAGAGACAAAGCATAGGTAAAGACAAAGCAGGCATTCCATTGTTAGTGTTTTTTCCCCCCTTTACTATCGTCTCACAGTAATAATTCCTTTTTGCAAGTTCTGATGTAGTTCATCTGCCAATAATTGTTATTAATTACCAATTCTTAATTTGCTTTTGTTTTACACGGAAAGACAGTCAGAATTTTCTCCTCTTTTCTGTTTACTGCAAACTCCAGTAGAGTTGGATTTATGATTTTTTTTTCCAAACATTGTCTAATAATTAAATTCCAAATCCTCTATGCATAAGCTAATCAGAAAACAAAAAAACCCAACAAAAATGTATAGCTACATTATCCAGACTTACAAGCTGTGGAGCCAAACAAGATACATAATAGTATTAAGATTCACAATAATAAGAGTAGATTATTTCAAAACTCAGATACGGTCAAAAGTGATGCCTAACCTTCTAACCCCTTTCCCTCCATCAGCTCAGTGCTAATGACACTCACCAATGTCACCCTGAACTACGCGCTGCTTTACAGCTGTACCCCCTTGTGCTTGTTAGTGGTCTCTAGCTCATTAACTATGAGGAAATAGCTGTCACTCCTTTAAAATCTTAAAACTGGTAGAAATGCATTAGAGATAACATACCTCTTTCTAGCACTAGAGGACCATGACAGTGAGCAAACATTTTTGTCATTTGAAGACGTTTTTATTTTACACCTAACTTTATTAACAGCAATTCTCATGTGTCTTGCAGTTGTAATCCATCAGTTTCCAAATCCTTTATGAAAACACATATTTATTTCCAAAGGTGTTGTCTACCTTAAGACACACCAAAAGTGCTTTTGCAAGTGACCACTTCAAAATCAGGACTCATCTGCCCCTAGAATTGCCTCGGGTGTTGTGTGACTAATCACAGGCTGCTCCCACCTGCCTTCATAGGTGCTTGGTAGGCAAGGGGGTAATTAGGACTTCCTAATTAGGAAGTACCTTGCAGAGCTAGGCTTTAGATGCTGCCTGTGGGGTTTTGCTTCTGCTTTGCAGCTAGGACAACAGGTTCAATGTTTTTAACTCACTTTGCCTTTTTGCTCAGGGTTTTTTTCTTGCTTTATTGGTTTGTTTTTTTCCAAGTGACTGTTATGGTCCTGGGTACTCATGCTGAGGTGAATGAGTTGGGCTTGATACTCGGGAGAGGATTCAGAGTGGTGGTAGAAGCTATTACAAGAGAGATTTGGCTTTGTATGCAGCTATGGAAGACCAGAAATGAGTGTTTCGTTTAAGTGTAAAAAGTATTTGCCTTTAAGAATGGTTTGCATTAGATGTAGTGAGTGGCTGACAAGACAGGCAGGCACAAGAGCTCTTTTTGTATAAGGTAGTAATTGAAGATTGAGATAAAACTATTTACCTGTGATTGCGAAGTAACACTGATTGGCTGTGGCTGCTTAGGTCTTCTTTTTTTTTAATCTATTCTACTTTTATTTCTAAAAAGTATTTTTCTTTTTCTCCCAGTTCTGACAGGAGAGGGTCAGAAAAAGAAAAAGTCTCTTTTTCTTTCCTTCCATTCTAGCTCCCATTTCTCATTAAATGCTACTTGCTCCTTTTTTTTTTTTTTTGCTTTAGGAATCAGCATAGTAAGAAACAGGGAGGAGCACTGGCACCTACAATGCAGCTACAAATGGAACAACAGCCAATGCTAGCGCTCCCCTTTTTAAGGATTGGAGTGTTTTACATTTACAAATGTTAGGACTAAAAAGTAAAGTGACTTGTACAATTTCAAGCTGTCATAGTTCTCTAGAATTATACATCTAATCAAATGTATTATCTGAGCTTACTGTGAGAACTATCTCATTTCACAAGCTCTCATCCACTTCCACATGAGCAGTGAACTTTGCCTCATTGTCACCCCTCTGTATTGTGAAGTTTCACTCCTAAATGGAGTATCTCACCAGGACTTGCAAAACAGCTTTGAAGAATTAATCAAAGGAGCACCCCTGGAAACAGTAAAGACTGTATAAAGATATTTTAATTGAAATAGGGCATTTGATAGTGAGCTGTAGAAAATATATATAGTAGTTTTGTATATCAGACTGGAAGACTTTGGTTTCATATTTTAGAGGTGAGGCTGTTGGTTTGGTTTTGGTTTTTCTTCTATTTTTTCCTTGCTCTCATGCTATTCACTAGTCTCATTAATAGCATAGCTGATAGAATAGGAAGTATTAGTTAATGAAGTCTAGAGATTACGCTCAGTGTAAAAAGTTGTAATTGTTTGGAAATTCAAGCAAAAGTAGTCAGTAAATAGTATTAAATTATTCTCCCTACCTATCTGACTCTAGAAACGTCAGAGCTGGTGTACCCTGGAAGTGGTTTTTTTTTACAATGGAGGCTGCACCTTCACCCCTGTCTTGAAGTGTAGAATGAGATATTGGTGGGTTTTTACAAAATACAGCTTATGGGACTGTGCATCTAAGAGTACCTGAGTTTTAGGTCTTGAAATGCATATTATGTAACACTTATTTTTCTTCCCTTGTACAGTAACATCTACTGGAAGTGGGAGTAGAATCTGTTTCCATAAAATATTTGCATTTGAATATTTAGTCTGAATCTTCCCCCTCTTCCATCAACAAACCCACAATTTTTAAGCTTGACACAGATTTTCTAGGAAGATACAGAACAGTTGCTGGAAATAGACAGTGGCATAAACTGTTCTCTGGGATGATTTATAGCTGATAAATCTTATCACTGGAAAGGTGATGGTATAGATGGGGTTGGGACCTTAGCGAGTGTACCCAAATATTGTATTTCTCTTGGGGGTTCTGATGATGTCAGCATTCCCTACCTGTGTTGCATGGATGTGGTCATTAGCAGCCCCTTTCCACCCTGGGAGGGAGAGCAGAGCAATGGAAGGTGGGTTGAAGTACCGTTCTCTTCATCATGATAATGGGGCAGCTGCTAGGTTATGTGCTTGGGGGCTGAGGTAGAAAAGCTTTAGTAGCTGCAGACTGGCATTTATGTAATCATATCAATATAAGTGGAACTATTTCAGTTGACCTGAGTGTATGAGATAATCCACCAAGTGGTGTTAAAATTTACAGGCTGTAGAAAGGGTGAGAGAGCAGTTCCCAAAACTAAAGTATGGTCCCAAACTTTTGATGGCTTGGTTGCCAAAACTTAGGCAATAGATCCGTTAACTCCCCGGAACTTAACATGAGCCAGCAGTATGCACTTGCAGCCCAGAAAGCCAACCGTATCCTGGGCTACATCAAAAGGAGCGTGACCAGTAAGTTGAAGGAAGTGATCCTGCCCCTGTACCCTGCTCTTGTGAGACCTCACCTGGACTATTGTGTGCAGTTCTGGTGTCCTCAGCATAAAAAGGACATGAAACTGTTGGAACAAGTCCAGAGGAGGGCCATGAGGATGATCAGGGGACTGGAGCACCTCCTGCAGCCCAGAAAGCCCACCGTATACTGGGCTGCATCAAAAGGAGTGTGACCAGCAGGTCAAAGGAGGTGATCCTGCCCCTCTACTCTGCTCTTGTGAGACCTCACTTGGAGTATTGTGTGCAGTTCTGGTGTCCTCAATATAAAAAGGATATGGAACTGTTGGAACAAGTCCAGAGGAGGGCCACAAGGATGATCAGGGGACTAGAGCAGCTCCTGTATGAGGATAGGCTGAGAAAGTTGGGGCTGTTCAGCCTGGAGAAGGCTGCGTGGAGACCTCATAGCAGCCTTCCAGTATCTGAAGGGGACCTACAAGGATGCTGGGGATGGACTCTTCATTAGGGACTGTAGTGGTAGGACAAGGGGTAATGCCTTAAAACTTAAACAGGGGAAGTTTAGATTGGATATAAGGAAGAAGCTCTTTACTGTGAGGATGGTGAGGCACTGGAATGGGCTGCCCAGAGAAGTTGTGAATGCTCCATCCCTGGTGGTGCTCAAGGCCAGGTTGGACAGAGCCTTGGGTAATATGGTTTAGGGTGAGGTGTCCCTGGCCACGGCAGGGGGGTTGGAACTAGATGATCTTAAGGTCCTTTCAAACCCTTAGGGATACAGCGTCAGTTGCTAAATATAGTCTTAGGAGCACAGAGCTGTAGCAATAGTTCTAGGCACTGAGAAAAGTTAAAAGAAATCTCTAACCAAAGTATTCTTTTTTGTTGTGATTGTTGTTGGGTTTTGTTTTGTTTTGGTTTTGATTTGGGTTAACTAGGGGAAAGTAACAGATGAAGGGATGACCCCTAGGATGCTTTTATTATGCTTGGGTTTATTGCTGCCTAGATTTTTTTTTAACTGTGTACCCGTGTAAAAGCAGAGTGTAAGATGAATAACAAAAAATGCTTTATGAGGTACTAGTAACTGAATATTTACTTATAATTTTTCCCCCACTGTATCAAATTAATATTTCTAAAAATCTAGGTACTAATGTCTTGAGCAACTGATTAAATAAAGGACTTAAAGGTGACTCTGGCTATTCTTATAGCCCTTGTGATTCTTAATGACAAGATGTGGATTTAACATTACTAGGATTATGTGGTATTTGTATTCTTCACAGTTAATGCAGGTTTCTTTTGCATTTAATTCAGTAATTTTCCCTCTAGGTTTCTCTTTGCAAAAATCCATGCAGTATAAGAACATGAGCAATTGTATCTGCATATTCTTAAGCATAGTTCTGAAGCTGGATTTCATCAGAACGACTTGATGCTGTAATAATCCTGGACTGAGTAGGAAGCATTAAAAATACTACTTTCTAATGATGTTCAAGTGCTTTTTTGCCAATAATTATATTTAAAACGAACTTTGTGCTCTCAAGCTGTAAGTGGTTGCACAATTTGTTACATGTAATTTAGTACACATCACTGAAAACATTGGTTCAGTACAGGCAGAAATTCACAGAGATAAAGTCAGTAAATATTTTGTACTACTTGTAGTTGTGAAATGCATTGCTTATAATTGCTAAAATTGAAGAATGTGGATGAGAAAAGAATTCTGAACAGCTCCAAGTGAAACAGTGCTGTGTCTTGGAAAACGCACAGAAATCTCAATGGTTCTTTCATGCTCTGGCATCTAGAGTTGCCATCTTTCTGTCACAAGGAGAAGGGAAAAAAGAAAAGAGGAAAAAAAAATCTTCCTATATAGAAGGGAACTTGTCTCTGTGATAGAGTTCATAATCATTCTGTATTTGGAGAACAGCTCTATGACAGGGTGTAAAGTTAATTTTGTGAGAAAGTGAAATGTGTCTCATAAGCTTGGTTGGAAGGTCTAAAAGCAAAATTCTGCTGCTTCAAGAATTTGCTGGCACTTAAAGTTCAAAGTAACATCTTTGACCCAGATATAGGGTAAGTATTTGTGGGTTTCCATATTTTTTTGCATCTCAAGAAGCTGATTTTTAATGTAGTTCCTTGTTACATAAACAACCTAACTTTTTTTTCCACTTTTTAAAAAGCATAACAAATAAGTAGAAAAACTGGCAAAGCAACTCCCTACCACGTTGTTCCAGAATAGCATTAAGATATACTACTTCTGAAGTCTCCAAGGTAAAGAGTTTGCAGATTTAACATTTTTTGTTTTCTTAAAATGGATGGGATTAATCCTTACAAATACCTAAGTCTTCTAAAAGGATATTGATATAAAAATTTAATGGTTTGGTTTTGGGGTTTTGTTTTGTTTTCGTTGTTGTTTTTGTTTTTTGTTTTTTTTTTTTGTGACATAAGATTGTGTAGATGTTGTCTTCAGCTTGGTGAATAGTTAGCACTATTATTCTCCCCTGTCTCCTGTTTTTATAAGTTAGCAACTGGAAATTTGAAAAGCAGCTGCTGACTGCCTGAAAATGAGGTCTCCCTCCCTTCAAAGGCAAAAATAATTCCTAGTAAGAAAACATCAATATTCATCAAAGTCAGTGGGTGTCTTCAGGTAGGTATGCCTGTTTTTTCTCCTAGGTACTTGATATAATGTCATGAGTTTGTTAGTCATGTCTCCTTTTTTAATGCTGTCCCTATCCCATCAGGAGGAACAATGGTTCAGGTACTATAAAATTTCAGATTTTTTAATATTAAAGAAAACAAACAATGTGGAATTTCTGTTTGTATTTTACTAATGGTATCCTTTCAGGGAGACCCAGTAACTAGGTATGGTGTATATGAGTGTCTATAATTTAGTGTAATCCTTCAAAAACTGGTCAACACGAGCAATTTCAGCAACTTGTTTTCAGGGTTGCTTATGTGTCTGAGAAACCAGTATCAAATACTGAGATGCGTCTGCTCAGTTCTGTTGGGCGCAACTTCAGTTTAACACTTTTGCACTTGAGAGGCTATCAGAGGTGTAAACTATTTATTTTCCTGGAACCAGCAAGTCAAGAATTTTGCTGGGTCTGACTTTAAATTCTGTCTTCATTTTTCCTCCCACTTTTTTGTTTTGTTTTAATAGTTTCCCTCTTTCAAAAAGAATTGTAAAGTTTGCATTCAGAATACCAATGTACATCTATAGTTAAGTTCAAGGTAACTCTTTTATGCTCTCTTTTTGGCAGTATTGTAGCAAACTATAGCTTTTACATTGCAAACCATCAGAACTGCACACAAGGATATGGGGATCCAAAAGCTGTTCTGCAAGATTTTAATTCTGTTTTATTGGTTTGTTGGTGGAGATGTAAAATGAGAAGATAAAAATTGGTGGAGACACCAGCTTTTACTTTTTCTCTCTATTTCATTGGATCCATGGTGATGTTTCTACAGGGCAACAGAAAATCTTGTCAAATAAAATTTTATTTGTATTTGGAATGAAGGGTTGCTTTCTGTGGCTGAAGAAGCTCTCCTATTTGATATACAATTGGGCTTTCAGTAAGGGTCAGTTGTTAACTTTGGAAGTTCTGAGGGTTCTTCTGTCCCCCTCCTCTTTAAACTTGCTCAGAGAAAGCATTTTACTTACTACCTCCATATTAAAGAATTCATAAAATGTTTTACAATTTTGCATTTCCCTTGTATATTCTTTCTTTCTCTCCTATTTTCTGGTTCTGTTACAGCAGGATCATTTTCATTCTGATATGCTGACCTCTTCACACACAAAATAAGTTTCTGAGTTGTTTTACCAAGATGTTGTTTTACACATTTGCTTCATAAAATCATGGGCGCTAAGATGTTGTGAAACTGAGTCCTACTTATTTCTGTTTTTAAGTCCTCAAGTCTTTTTAAAAGAACTGTTCCACTCATGAAAGGATGAAAAACTGAAAGCCTCCTGTTTATCAATTTTGGGGCAGTCCCCTTTTGCTGCTTTTGTTAGTGCAATATCCTTTATTTTCTCTCATGTCCTTGCTGGCTCCTAAGGGGTTATCTTAAATGAAGACATCTGTTGAAGCCTTTGTTACAGATGGGTATTTTAATGGGCATTCCTGCAGTCCTTTTTTTTCAGTTAGCAATGGTATTTTTTGGTGGAATGACTGAAATATTTCAGAACAGTGTAGAAATAGCTTTCTTAAAAATGTTCAATCTAAACAAAAGGGCATGTGAAATACAATAGCACTAGAATTGCTTCTCCTAATTTAGTAAAAATAAGGTGAATAAAAGTCATGTTGGCAGAAAACTGTTTTTCTGAGGACTGGATTTGATCATTCCAGCAGAAAAATTTTGTAGGAAATCCTAAGAAACTTGCTATCTTGCATGTAACAAGTGAAAGCAGTGTTGGTGCAGTTCTGTTTTGAAACCTCGCTATTGTAATAATTTAGATAAGTTTTATTTGAATAATTTATATATTCTAAAGTGTCTTAGTTGAAAACCTAAACTGAAGACAATGTGGTTCAACATTATACACTTTGTGTAATTACCAGCAGATGTCAGGCTTTCACTTTACAAAAAAAAACTGATCTTGAAAAGTGTACTTTTTCGCAGCAGGATATAAAAAACTTTAAATTTAGATGTATAATGCTATTGTGCACCTTGTTACCCATCAGACTTGAGAGTTTAATGAACGATTTTTCAATGTGTTTTGTATTAAGCAGTAGTGGGCTTAATTTTAACGTGTTGTCTTTTTGAATATTTTACATATTTATATATAATACGGTAAAGAGTTAAAATTATGTACATGTGTATATAAATTACATCCTTGCATTTGCCTTCTCCAGACACTAAATGTCTGGCGACGTTTACAATAGTAATGTTTAGTTTACCCCTGGGATTTGACTAGTTATCTGTTGCAAATATAAGAATCCTTACAGTTAAAGTTCACAGTGGAGTCAGGACTTTGGGATATTATTATTACTTCCTTTAGAGACCTTTAATGGACAAAAGATGAAGTTGCAGGTGATAAAAATATGGTACAGTTTTGAAATATATTTAGGAGCAATGGTTAATTATCTCATAAGTACTTTGAAACACAATGCATTGCAAATATAAAGTAAAATTTTTCAAATTCAGATTGTAGGGGTAGGGGCTGCTATAGAGCAGGACAAGATCATATTCTTTCTAATGCTCTGCTGTTGTTGTGAACATATTTAAGGCAATTTTCAGTGTATTTGTTAACTGTTAAAAGTTTCTTGTAGAAAACAAAGAAACATCTTTCTTAAATATTTGGGCACTAGAGCAGGAATAGCTGCCCTTTGAAGTGGGGTGGTATTTCTATACAGATAACCGCACTGACCCCTTTCTTTAAGGTAAATGTCTGTATTCTGAGCATCTCCCACTGCTAAGTGGGAACAGCTGCTTCCCAAGGAGACAAGATACAAGTCAGTTGTTAGTGCTGCAGCAACATGAGTCTCAAAGCAGTCCTGATTAAAAACAACAGAAAGGATTGAGCACAAAATGGTAACTGCTACCTTGCCAGTTCTCACTGTATTAGAAATGAGCCACTATTTTTATCCTCCCCCTACCCTTTAGCTACCACAAATAAAAAGGATCAAAATAACTGGTATAAGAAAATATGATCTTCTACGTATATGTGAAAGAAAAAGGGAGGAGTACATTTATTGGGTTTTTTTGTACCTGTTCCAGAATGTTGTGTTCTTTTTGCCTCATGCACAAGCACTAGGAAAGTCTTTTTGATCAAAAACAAAGGAAGAACGAAGACTAGATTTGCTCTAAATAGGGATCAATAGTGTTCATAAACCACTTTCAAAGTGCTGCATATTGAAAATGCCCAGATCAGATATGACAGGGAATGACTTTGTGTAAAGGTAGGAGACTTGCAGGAATATCTTACACACTTTCTCCACCTCTTACAGCCTGTCTCAAGAGCTAATGCCTCTGTAGCAGCAACTAAGTGGTGGGGAAGAAAAGAGCTTACTGATAAAATGCAGTTTTTCTCTGAATGAATAAAGTACAACTACTCTTTTAGTCATGCACAGAGGATCAGTTAATATCCCCCTAACACTGCACTTAGCAGTTTGTGGTGCTCAGTATTACTTTCTTGCAAGGCTAGCATTGTTAGGTTTCCATTTCTTTCATTTGGACTTCATTCGTTCATCTCCCAAACTGCAAGAAGTTAACCAAATGGTCATGTTTAGTGGCTGGGTCCAAAGCCTAAAACCAACCTAGATGGGGCATCCCACCCTGCCAGCACATGCTACAGTACAAGCTACAAAGTAGCTTCTGGCAAGGTCAGTATTTCAAAGATTGTTTGGCTCATATAGTACATTAAGAAACAGCTAACAGTAACCCTGTCAACTGATTAGTTTGTGTAAACTATGACAGCTCCTTTGGAAATGTCCTGTATTTGTGGGACTATTAGCTGTAAACCTGCATTGTGAGTGGCCAGAGGCAGTGCCGTGAAACCTCCCCAAGGCTGGGAAGGCTGGCGTACACACTACAGGGCTTGTAAAGCTGAAGGGAGGGAGCATACCAGGGTTACTGTCAGGTTGGGGTTTGACTTTGACTCTAGAGCTCCTACTGCTTTAGCGAGAGACTGTTGGAACAGCTCCTGCTGCTTGGTCCTGCTGCAGGGGATTTGCAGCGCTCAGTGAGGTGAGCCTATGGCATTTTGGCTCACCTGAGCTGCTGGGAT